GATGGATGGATGATGGATTGATGGATGAATGATGGATGGATGGATGGATGGATGGATGGATGATGTTTCAGTGAATCAGAGATCTGTCATTGCAGAAAGATGTTTCACTACGTTCTGTTTTTAACTGAAATCCTGTAAATCTGCAGGAATGAAAAGTATCCGTTTGAATTTTGCAGCTAAAATGAACAAAAGAAAAACTGAAAATCATAAAGTTATTAAATCTAAACTCCTCGTGAAGCTTTGAGCCTCTGAAGCAGCAGCAGCCTGAGAGGAACCCGATCCGGTCCGGGCGGGATATTCAGGTGCTGTTCGGCCATCAGCTGGAGAGCAGAGGGAACGCCGCGCCGTGGTTTCACCCAGACGCTTCTGGAGGCGAAAAACATTACGAGGAACTTCCTGCTGCAGTTCCAGGAAAACCTCTCACCACGCTTAACCTCCTGACAGCCACAACCAGAACCAGAGAACCGGGCTGTGATCATCACCAGAACCTGTGTGGTTTCTGTTTGCTCCGCTGTTCAGATAAAAGCAGGAATCTGATCTCAGATCTGCCCAAGCAGCAGCTGCTGCTGTCTGCATTATAAACGTTCAGGTCTGCTGCTCTGAACAAACACTCCGAGATGCGTCCACACACATGCAAACTCAGGTTTAATCACACACACTCACACACACCTGTGGCAGGTTGACACAGCAGCTGCTGACGGTTCGCTGCAGATCTGGAAACCACACGCCTCTTCTTTTCCACAACTTTATTTAAATCCTGCCACCGCAGCGGCACCTGAGGCCAGCAGGCCCCGCCCACTGCTCACCTGGGAGAGGGACAACCGTAACCACAGCAGTCCTGCTGGGATGGTCAGAAAAATGACCTACACTGGAATTACAAGCTTCAATAAACCTGCAGAACAAAGCTGAGATTTTAATGAAAAAAAAAAAAAAAAAAATGTTTAGTTCCTCTGTAAATCAGATGGAGTTTCTTGGATTGTCGCTGCATTACTTCATTGTTTTAGTCTGTTTTTAACTCTAAAGCCTGATGGGATTTAGAAGACAAGGTTTGATAACAATATTAATCATCTACATCACTTTATACCTTGAAATTGTTTTAAATTCATGTGTAAAACCCGAGTGACACCAAACATGACGATAAAACCAGATATAACAGGTTTGGACCTGCTGCGTGTGGAAAAGAGCCACACTCAGGCCGATTTCTCTCGCGATGTCAAGCTGAAAATCTCACATAACTTCGCGGGATCAAACGTGATTTCAGTGTAAACAAACATGGCCGACGATTTAGAAGCAACGGCTATAGTTTTAGAACATTATTCAACAGGAAAAAACACACAAAAAAACCGTCTCAAACATGTTGAATGTCCCCGATTCCCCGACATGAATATCCTCATGACTGTCTTTAGAGCATCCCGATAATCGGGCGTCTTTAAGATTGTCTGAAAGGGGAAATCGGGACAGAAATCGGCATAAAAATCGCGCCTGTGAACCAAGCTTTAGACACAGTATGTTTCATGATCCGGCAATCTCTTTATAATCAAGTTCATTAGCGGAACTGAACGCCATTTTCTACATGAGGTGAGAACAGCTCTGTTTTGAAATTAATTAAACATTTACACCAAATTTTTAGGGGAAAATTATCGATCAAACTGAAGTCGGACTGTTGTAAACGATTATTGTATCAAGTTATCTATGGATTATTCTGACAATTAATGAATAAGAAATGGTGCCGTTCTCTGGTAGCTACTTAATATAGATGAGAAAATGCCAGTAATTGTTTTAATAAGAAAACTTTGTATTGATTAAAATGCAAAACGATTCAAATATCACCTTCCGTATCAAGTTAGAAGTATGACATATTTATAAAATATATATTTCTAATCTATTTTTTAATTTTTTTTTAGTCACTTCTTTACTCTTGTTGATCAGTTAGTAACAGTAAAGTTAGCCAAAATGTTTGTCGTTGTTCTGGTACAGATAAAAGTTACGTCACCTGTTAGGAGAAGCTAACGAGCTCGGAGCGTAGCGGATGTTTCCTGCTGTGTTTCCTTTTCCGTTTAGTTTGAAATGATTCCTCATTTTCGATATTTTCTGTCTTTCTTAGCGGTGCTTCTTTCCGTCCCGCGTCGTCTCCGTCCAAAGCTGCTAATCGCACTTAGCATTGGCGGAAGTAAGACCATTGCGCAACACTAATAATCGTCCGGCTGGAACACAGCGCTAGATAGTAAATTGTAATTTAACGAAGCATCGAGGTGTTTTTAAAATGGAGGTCCTCGAATCGTCACCGCTTCACATAGAAGAGCAGCTGCAGCAACATTTTCCTTCAAGGTGAACACTGAGCGACTGCTTTGTGTTCTTCGATCTGTAGAGATGTTGTGGGAACCAGATATGTAACATCTGGCTCTCCACTCACTTCAAACTGAACTATAACGCCTTTAATCAGCAGAATTTACACCAAAGATTGAACTAATCCTCTTAATTTTATTGTTTGTAGGTGGAAGATACGGCGGACAAACTGAGTTTTCTATAAGACCATCCACAAGTAAGTAGACAAAGTAATAGAATAAATGCTTTGAATTATGAAAGAATTAATGTTTTTATTAACCTGGATGAAATGATTTAGAACTTGTTCATGTTAAGAATGAACTGATTCAACATGACGATATGATTCAGTAGAATGTGATACGGTATGACACCATATGATGTGATGCAATTTGATACTATGTGAGTAATATCATAATAGGGGAAAATTCGATACAATGCATTAAGCCAATGTATCATAATATGACTCAATGTGACCAAATCGGGTGTATTCATCAACTGATATAATTATAGGACCATGTTACAGAATAACAGCAACTAAAAATGAAACTCTTTCTGTCAGGTTGTTTTCATGAGGCTCTGGGTTTATTTTTCAGATCTGTGCATCATAAATCTGTTCTGAAATAACAATCAAAACTCAAGTTGACTGAAATCACTCACAGATTCATGTTACTTTGATAAATCAGTGTTTTTCTCTCTAATCTCCAAACAAAAAAGGCATAAAATTCTGAATTATCATAAAAACAAAACAAAACATGAGTCACAGCAAAGACTGGAGCAGTTTGTCATTCAGCAGGAGAAACTCAGAAACAATCCGGACCTTTAAAAATATTCCTCCACCCTGAAAGCATCAGGATCGGTTTTCCTGACGGGGATTTAGATCCAGACTGAGAGGGACGGAGTCGGAGCCGAGCGTGAGTCCGGGCTGTTTACGGTCGTCACATCGTGTTTTCTCTGCTTCGTTTTCATCCTAACGGACGTCTCCTTACTGCGCTCCACCTGAAGGGAAATATTCCCATCGGGATTCTCCCACCGGATGGATCCGGACAAACCGGACCGCCTCGGAGTCGAGACGGAGGAAAACCAAGCAACATTTTGGAGCAACAATTTTGTTTCCCAGCAGCTTAAATACAGAAAAACTGCAAATTTTACACAAATCTGCTTATTTCTACTGTCAGAATAAAACAGCAGCTAAACCTTTAATATTAGCTGAAATTAAACTCACTTCTTAAATGTGTATTTATAAGAAGAGGCAAAATATCAGCATTTATTCATCTGTAATATAATAGAAGGTCAGATTAAGGGAAATATTTGATGATTTCATATAATATGACAATATTAACAGATTACCTGGGTGATTCTTAACATCTGGAGCTGCACAGATAAAGTAATTATATAGATTTATGAAAAATAACAGAATATTGAACCTGATGGATGCTTGCGCACAGAAATGTTAATAAAATAAAATGTAAATATGACTATTTCTGCAGCTTCTGTTTCGTCTTATGTGACAAATAAAAAGAGGCTGCAGAACATGAAACATCTAGAAGGTTAAAGGTCAGCCTGTACGCTTCATTTCTTCTCCCAGCAGCAAAACATATCTGCTTCAGTCATGAATAAACGGCCAAGAATTCAACAAGAAACACAAATTTTAACATCTACAGGAAGAAATGTAATACACATTTCATTTTTGTTATTTTATTGCTGGATTTGATCATTTCTGCCCAGAAACACCTGAAGAATATTCACCTACAGGATAAATAAAGCCGTTTCTGCTCAGCCCAGCAGTTTGTCACATTAGATATGAATATTCCCGGACCTCAGTAAATGTCAGCTTATGGAAATCAGGACCTAAAAGCAGAAGTTTGTCCACTTGGAGACGTAAACAGGCCAGAAAGTGACGAGCAGAAGCGCAAACAAACAGCCGCTTAATTAATGGAAAGAGCGGCGGTTCGGCTCGGCTCGGCCCAGCACGGCGCGGCTGGTCGCGTAGGAACCGAGTCTCAGGAGAGGCTCGGAGCTGAGCGCCTTGACTGAGTCCGAACCGGAACCGCAGTCCGGGCTGGAGATGTTTCAGATGAAAACCCATTTCTGTGCGTAAAAGTTTGATTCTGTTGGATTTTTCTGCTTTAAGCGATTTTTAAACTTTCATCAGGAAACAAAACACAAAATAAAAGCGAATATTTCTAAATTTCTGCTGATTTTAGTTTCCAGGATGAACCCAAAGGTCAGAGTTCGCGCCGCCAGCAGCCGGAATGAGGAGAATAAAAGCGGTTACTTACATGTGAAAGTCCTGCGGTAAAAGCTGCGGGTTTAAATCACAACATCCCGCTGCGTCCCGCTCACTGACCCGCACAGGGGGCGCGGAGCGGCGGATCCATGGGCGAACAGCTCCGGCCGACCCGCGGGGTTAAAATCCAAACAGATGAAGAAGCAGTGATGAAGAGGAGCGGCGGGGAGCTGCGCGCCTCTCCACCCGGGGAACAGGCAGTGCGCACCGGGCGCGCGGCTTCACTCCGCCCGCTCCCGCATCGCCCCGCACAAAAACTCCGGTAACTCCAGAAACAGACGGCCGGGTGTCCGCGGGTCCTCAGCGGGGAGTCGGGCAGCTGATGGCTGGACAGGTAGGAAGTCCCGAGCTGGTTCCGGAGGTTCCCGGGTCAGATTTCCCTCCGCAGCAGGAGAACCGGAGCCGCGCTGAGTGCAGACGGAGCGCAGGGCTTGGTGCGTGTCGGGGCGTCCGCGGGCTGCTGGGGCTGTCCGGACACTCTCCCGTCATCCCCGCCGCTTGATCGCCCCCGGTGCGGGGAGGGAGAGAGAGCGCGGTGGGAGGAGAGTATCGCGAGGTTGGGACATAAATCCCGTTTTCCTCGCGCTGGGATGACCGGGGACGGCTTGGAGAGTTTAGGCTGAGTTTCCTCCTGAACCAGGAAACATGAAGGAGCAGCATCGGTTCTTCAGAACCAGAACTCCTCTGGAGCAGAGCGCCTCCTGTCTGACCTGCCGGACCGCAGCTTGGAGAAGAAGAACCGGACCGAGTCCGTCATTCCGCAGTTTAACTTCTGAGTTTTTTTCTTTCCTTTGTTTTTATTATTTTTTATTCTAGTGACTGTTATAGCTTTAACGTTTTTGGTTTTGTTTTTTCTTTATTTTTCTTTTGTATTTAATTTAGTTCTTATTTCTTGATTTGTTTCTTTTTTACTCTTCATCTTATTGGATTTTATTTCTTTTTAATTCTCATACCTGTAACCTTTATCATCTTTTTTATTTGTTTTTTACTTTTTTCTTTTCATTAATTTTATTCTTTCTCTTGTTTCTTCTTTTTCATTCTAATGTCTTTTGCTTTAATTTTCTTATTTCTAGAAAATTTCTTGGATTTGTTTGTTTTACTTTTTTATGCTTTTTTCTTTTAGTTTATTTTTATTTTAGTAGTTGTAGTAGCTTTAACTTTCCGTGTTTCTGTCTTCATTTTGTGTCCTCTTGTGTGTTCTTTTATTTTTAAATATAGCGTCTATAGACGTTTTCTCAATTTCTTGACTTTTGTTCTTTATTATTTGTATTTTATTTCTTTTTTATTGTAGCATTTGTCATTGCTTTACTTCTGCTGCCATCTGTTTTTATTTGTATTTGTCGGGTTCTGTGTTTTCTGTGTTTATTTTCTGGGTCATGTCTCTTGTAAGTCTCTGTGTTGTCCTGTTCTCCCCTTGATCACCCCGTGTGTGTTTAAGTCCACCTGTTATCTCTGTCTCTTGTTGGGTCCTTGTCGTTTGTCTTTGTCAATCGTCTCAGGTTAGTCGTCACATCTCACTGGTGAAGTCCTGTGTCGGCTGCTCTCGTCTGTTTCTCGGTTTCGTGCTGCCAGTGTGAACCTTGTCTCCGTTTGTCTGTGCTGCCGGACCCTGGACTGTGTGAGCCTGAGTTTGTCCTCCATTAAACCATCACTTACCTCTCTACCTGGGTCCAACGGCGCTCTCCCTCACCACCATCACCACCACAAATCATGAAAGTATAAACTGCAGACATTTAAAGTTACAAGTCATCCAAGAATAAATAAAACTCAAACATAAAATAAACATCAGGAACTTCATGATAGATATGATTCTACATTTATTCATAACCTGGACAGTTTTTGTCTCCCCCTGCTGTTTGTCTTTAGGTACTATTGCTGGAATCAAGTCGGATTTCAAGCGGATTTCCCAAAAAACAAACATAGTTTATTTATTTATTTTTGTAACTTAGTGGGAAAGTGTTAAATTTGTGCAAATGAAAAAGGGAGATGGCTGACATGACAGTTATCCAACAGCAGCTGTTTCTAAAGATGGCTGCCCGCATCCAACTGGGCTGATGGAAAGATGAGTGGAAGGAAAAAATTTATTAGGAAAACTAAAAGATGGAACCTGCTTCAAATGTTACCGTCCATTTGGTTTGTGCCTCCTGCTCCTCTGTTAACAAGCTGATAACATTCAATGCAGGCGGTTACTCCAGAAAACTGGTTGATCTGATGCTTCACGTTTACAGAGAAACTCACCTGGGAGGAATTTACCAACTCAGAACAGAAACAGAAACAATAGAAATGTGTAGAAATATCCTGACATATTATGACAACCTGTTCATCCATTTTCCAGGTAAAGACAGAAATAATGTGAAGGTTGGAACTACTCAACAGAGACTCATAAAAAACATTTTGATCATGAAATCAGCAAATAAAAATGTAGGAAAACATCCAGAGGAAATGAGAGAACCGAACAGGATGCACAAGGAGCCCAGACCGGATTCTGGGTCCAGATTCTGTCAAATACAGCGGGTCCAGATTTATGGATTAATATTTTTTTATTTATCTGGTCTCATAACATTCAGAAAAAAACTGCATTTTTATTTTCTTTAAAAAGAAAGAGTCGGAATTTGTTGACGGGGATTTATTTTACATGGGATTTTACAATAGCGCCCTCATGCGGATATAATATGTAAGTACAACATTTTATGTAGGAAATGCATATTTCCTACATTTATTTAGTTAAAATCCCTTATCGGTGCATTAAAATCAATATTTTCCTGTCTGAATGTTATTTGATTTATTAACTTCAAACGTAAAATAAAGTAACGTGAGATATTTGAGGAAAACATTAACTTAAAGTAAAGCTCTTAATAAAGAGATGAAATATTTATATAACGGCTAATAAATGTGGAAAAAAAAAACAACTCAACGATGAATCGCTCAGGACAGAATCCGTTTTTATACATTCTAATTAAATTAATGCTGAATTTTTATTATTTGTTGTTGTTTTTTCTTACTTGTAATTAAAATATTTTTTAATGGAGGCAGCGGTGTGTGATCATTAATAGGATTCTCCGCCCCAGATGTTTAAAACTCCTCTCCTCCTTCTGCCACGTTTTCCCTCCTTTCCAAAGAAAAGAGGCGACACTGGAAAGCTTCCTCGAAATCTGATTGGTCAGCCCAGAGGAGAACCCGCCCCAACACCCGCCTTCTTGTTGTTTCTGGCACTCTGATTGGTCGGACCGAAGTCAGTCACGGTTACCATGAACTTCGGCTTTGCTGGTATCCAAGTGAAGAGGAGATTTTTGGGGAACTGACCGTTTCATCACCGAGAGACAGAAAAGCCACAGCTTCAGTCCGGTCACAGAGGGCGGGTTGGCGGTATATGTTGTTGCTGCTCAGCAGGAGGCAAACAGCGGGGAACTCAGGGACAAATGGCGCAGAAGAAGAATTCAAAAACTCACAATAAAAGAGGTTGGTTATGGTTTTTTTTACTCTGCGCTCGAGACGCGCCTTCAAGCGAAACTCCATTAGAGGACTTGGAGATTTTAATTTTTTTTTCTTTTGAAGTGATTACAGAAAAAAAAAAAAACATAATAACCTGATAGTGTTCATACACTTATGAATCACGTTATTTCGGCTTCCAGTTCTCCCTTTCAGATGTTTAGATTATTGTTTTGAGGCTAAAACTACCTCCTAATTAGCGATCAAAATAGCTTAAAAACTTCAGAAAATAAATAGAAATATCTAAATATGTTGATGCCAGTAACGCCGAATTCTTCTGGGTGTTTTATGCTTTAGTTTTTCAGTCATAATTTCCATTTTCTGATGTTATTTTAACCATAAAGGAGAGTTTCTAAAATGACCAGAGTTTCAAATGGAGTCAGTTTAGGCGCTAAGCTAACGCCGCTACCAGCTGTGTTTAGGCTGCTAACAGAGGCTAAGCTGGATGTTCGCAGTCTCTTCTGCATGTTGTGTTTTTTTTAAAGGATGTTTTGTGTTAATAATCTGAGTAATGATGCGGGTTGTTTTAATAGTGGAGGAAAAAGCAGATGCGTTACTGTTAACGTGTCTGGAGAGGTTGTTGACCCTCAGTCATGTTTGTTCGGACTCAGTGTTTCCTGTGATTCTCTGCGTCTGAAGTGCTTCCAGAAACACCGACCCGCTCACTTTAAACATTAAATAATTCAGTACTCAGAAAATATTAACCATGCAGGCAGACAGAGATTTGGAGGAGTGACAAAAGCAAAGGAGGTGGAGTAGCAGAGCTGATGGAGCATCACCTGGATCTGCTAGCACAAAAACTCACTGACGATACTTGGGTTATACGAGAGATAAATAAATAAACAGGCAGGATGTGTTTGAGCTGCCGCTCATTTACATGAGGGGACATCCTGTCACTTCACAGATCTCACCTCCAGAACTGTGACCAGCCCAGACTGCATGGCTCCAACCTGGCCCAGCGCTGGAGGTCAGAGGTCACACAGAACCAGTAAAATGTTCTGGTTCTTTAGCAGAACTGGATTCTTCCTGACTCTTTTTTTATTTAATATCTTTTCCTTTTGTCTTTATTTTATTTTATATTTTTTGTTTAAATTTTTTATTTAAAGTTTTATTCATTTTTGTCTTTATTGCATTCCTTTTTTTTTAATTAAATGTATTTTCTTTTATCAATTTTTAATTTTATTTTTTTTATTGTTTTCTGTTGTTGAGTGACGGACAGAGAGGAGAATCAGAGTCAAGGTCGCTCTGCGGCATCCCAGGCTCTCCTGGAGCGTCTCTGGGTTTTGTCAGCTCTAATAATAAACCGGGTCAGGTTCCGGATCGGGTTCTGGCTCGGGTTCTGATGCTTTGTGAACTCAGAGCTGTTGTTGGAGGAAGAGGAGGAGCTTTCCCCTCTTCATCACCAGCTCTCTGAGCTCCAGGTAGCTGGAGGATCTTTGAGGTTCTGGAGTAATATCTGTGTGGTCCTGGTTCTGTTCTGGTCCGACCCGTGTTGCTCAGTGGGCCATGCGGCGCTGCGCCTCCTCCCAGCCTCCTGTGGAGGAGATCCACGCTGAGGAAGAGGAGGAGGAGGAAGAGCAGGAGGTGTTTCAGGAGACTGGTAGGCCTGGCAGCTGAAGCAGGTTCTGGTTCTGGTTCTGCTGGGTTTTTGTCTGACTGATGGGCTCATTTAGGAGGCGTTAATGAGGAGCAGGTCGGTCCGGTGGAGGAGCCGTCGGCCCGGGAACCCGGTGAGCCTCAGCATGCTCTGGTTCTGGTTCTGGTCTGCTTTTACTTCTAACTGGGCTCCTGTCAGAACTGGTGCTGGTTCTGACCCGTAGAAGTCCAAACGAACAGCTGCTGGTATCAGCTGCAGATATTTCGGTCCTAAGCAGCTGCTCTCTATTCCTGGTCCAACAGGACCGTCAACCCGACCTGCTGGGAGCAGTTTGGGTTCTGGTCCAGTAGAGGACTGGTTCTGGTCTGTTTCTCTGTGTTCTGGTCAGTGGACCAGAAAGAACCAGTGATAAATGACCACTGGTACCAGTCCAACTGGTTCTTATCAGCATGTCAGAAGAGAAACTGAATCAGGAGTTTTAAGCATTCTGATTGGCTGTTGGTCTCCATGAGCCCGCCTCCAGACAGTATTTCAACCAGTCCAAACAGGAACTAACAGCCAAACTGGAACCAGTTGGTCCAGTTAGGTGGAAATGCTGTTTCTACATTCATGTTTCCAGATCTGATTTCTGTTTGACTCCAGTTCCACCAAAACAACCGATTCTGGTCCAGAACAAAGAACCGTCTCCATTGGTACTGGGCAGGGTCACATGGACACCAGCAACCAATCAGAACGTCAGGAATGATTTTATTCTGAAGCTCCTGAATCTGAGCCACAGCAGGAACCAAGCAGATGGCTTTAGAATCGGGTCAGAACCGAGTTACTCCGGGTTAACAAAGGGTTAGCAAACTCCGAGTTGGCAAAAACTCCGAGTTGGCAAAAACTCAGAGTTTATAAAAAACTCCGAGTTGGCAAAAACTCAGAGTTTATAAAAAACTCAGAGTTTATAACTCTGTTTGTGGCCGAGTTACAAACTCTGAAGACGAGTTTAGAAACTTTTTTAGTGCTTTCGTTACAAAGCGTCCCTCTGATAATCATTTTAAACTTCATCAGATTACAAACCTCTGAAGGAAATCATTATTGATGAGGAAAAGCGATTGATCTGCTGTAGATGATTGATTATGTGACAGTAGATCTGAAACATTCAAAGGTTTTTACATGTTTTCTTTTTCTGATGAAAAGCCGTCCACTTCCTCATTCTTTTGAAACTGTGGTTTTGGTTAATGCTGATCAATAAGATCAGGATGTGGGTCGCTTTATCTTGGAACATTATTGTAAAGGAAGCAAACCCATTTCATTTGGGGGAACTCACTGGATGGTTCTGCTTTACGCAATAAAAATAAAACCAAGACCTTCATGTCTAATAACAGATAAAAACTAACATTTTAGATCCTAAAATGTCCGTCTTGTCTTTAGCACCAGAACGTCTTTAATGGGAGGAAATGATTATTCACATTAATGCTGAAAAATCGCAGCGACCCGTTTGGGTCAGAACCACCTGCATCGGTTCTCCTCATGACCCTGAACACGTTTCAGTCGTCGCCATAAGGCTGTCAGAGAAACGCTGGTTACTGAGAACGCCTCGGTTCACCGCCTGGAGGAGCTGGACACGGCGCTGCAGCCGACCGATACGGACATTTAAAGCTGCAGTAACGCTTTTTAAAAATGTTGCTACATGTTTGGTAAAAGGTTGCCATGTTGTGACAGTTTGTTATGAGACAGAAGATAATTTGCTACGTCTGAAGAAATGCACCGCTTCGACCAAAAACAGCCAATCAGAGCCAGGAGGTGGGGCTTAGTGCTGTCAATGAACCTCATGTACTCGCTGCCAAATGTGCTAATGGTGGAGAAACAACTTAACATTACAGGAAAACCGTTTATCTGCTGTCATCAGAGGCTATGCTAACCAGACTGAGCAGTCACAACATCCTATGCTAGCTGCAGCAGACCAAGGGGGAAGTTGATTGATGGCACTAAGACCCGCCTCCTGCCTCTGATTGGTTGTTTCTAGGTAGCACTGGGGGATCTGTTTTCACAGACTGTCTCATATCTTTCTGTCACAATATGGTGACAGTTTTAATAAATATGTAAACAAACATATATTTATCATAAAAGTTACATACTGCAGCTTTAAAGCGGTGCTGCAAAAGCAAAGGAGGTGGATTATTATCCAGGGCGAGTTGCTGTGGAATATCATCTGTGCTGCCTGGATATGTAGCTGTTAGCATGGCAGAGGCCTTTCCAGAGTCGCTGCTAGACTGACTGCTGCTGGAGCTCCTTCCGGCCCGCAGCATCATGGTTTCCCTCCGGGTTAAATAAAGTTCCTGCTAACCGAGAGACTGACGTTGAACTGGAATAATCTCAGTTTCTGGGTCAGATTCTCTACAGGCAGAGCAGAGCAGAGGGTCACAGAGGTTCTGGGTTTGAATCTTTCTGCATGTCTGGGCTCTCTGGGTGCTTTAACGATGAACAGTTATTAGTTAAACTATCAGAAGCCTGCAAAGCCATGACATCATCATCATCATCTTCTGGATTCTGCCAAATAGCCAGAAAGCTTCTTACTGTATTCACTCTTTTCCGTTTGAGGATTTCTCTAAACAGTTTTAAATTTTTCTGCCTTTTTATCAAACAGAAATAAATCCTGGAGACGTTTGGTCTAATTCAAGTGTCTTTTTCTAGAGGGTATGTAAATATTTGGTCCCAGTTTAAGGTTTACTGGACTTTTATTGACTCCATTAAGTTTGATCTTCACTGGGTTTCTGTACTATTTCACAGGTTGACTGTAGAATCTGCTTTTATGGCCTCATTAGAATGAAGTTTGGCTCAGTTTGTGTCTGAAGTTTGAGGTTTGCAGGGAAAAACATCTCAGGTTAATGAAGATATTTCAGAAATGAGTTTTTTTTTCTGATGTTTGGGTTTGATTCCCTTTAAAGCTCAGAGAAATCTGTTGATTCATCAAATGAAGGAAAAATCAAATAATCTGTCAAAATATGACTTTGAAAAATATGTTTGTTATTTTAAAGGGTCGGTTTTTATGTGTTTTCCAGGCACAGCGTAGATTTTATAGCACAATACAGTAACTATTAGGGCTGTAGTGATACAATAATCTCACAATACAATACACGATATTCTGCTCACGATACGATACATATTGCGATATTAAGCAAACGATACAATTCGATACACTTTTGCGATTTTCTGAAAGATTTTAGAGGGACAGAGTGATTTTGGTGACATTTTGTGACTGTTATAGAGTTGGACTGAATTAATTTAACTGAAAACTGATTAAAAGCACCAACTACACAATACCTGGCTGTGGTTGGATATGGACACAGACTTAAAGTCGACAGCTGGACAAAATGAATCAAAGAAATGGTGAGAAAACATGTTTCCTTTAGTTGAAACAGTACAAACTGAAGCTTACATGCATTTATAAAGTAAATAAAGTGCACCAAGTACCTGCTCTGCATAGTTTGATACCTTTTAACCCTGACACTTAACATCTGAAGGAATCGCTCTAAGCCTGATGACCTAATCACTCTCCTGGCGAAGCAGCAGTGAGTGAGCAAGGTGACAGTTGGACGTTACGATACTTGTGGATGAATATCGATTTTTTTCTAGGAAAGAAAATATCAATATATATCACAAAATCAATATTATTACACAGCCCTAGTAACTATGTAACCTTCAGTTGTTATAAAAACACTGTGTATATAAAATATCACTTAAAAGAAATTTCACTCCCCAATTTAACGCCTTGAACTTGGGCCTCTGTCTCTTTAAGAAGCTCCTGCTCTTTCTGAAACTCCGTCTCCAGGAAGTCATCCCAACATGGCTTCACTATTTACCCTTTAACGTTTTTACCAGCGTTGCTCTGAGCAGCAGCTATAATGAGCTCAGCTGGTCCACCAGCGGTTTGCTAATTGCTGCTGGCTAGTCTGAAGGAGCTGAGAGGGGGAGGAGCTGCACCTCGAAGGCGGGGCTAGGTCCACCAAGCGTTTCTAGGCTTATAGATGATAAATCGGCGGATTTATGATTTTGTTTGCTGGTGATGTGTGCAGATGGCCGGCCGGCTCCTGTGGAGCATAAGAACGGGAAGCGGGCCGAAGCCGGACCCGGAGCGGCGGACGGCGGTCCGAGGTTCTCCATGTTCACCTGGCTGGTGGTCGTGGCTCTGCTGGGCGTCTGGAGCTCCGTGGCCGTCTTCTACTTTGACATCGTGGACTACGACCGAGTCCTGGGTAAGATGGCCGCCACACGGCGCCGAGCCGCTGGTCTGCGACGTCTCTAACCGCTCTGCTCCTCTGCCTTCATCCCTCCTCCTCTTCCTCTGCATGCAGCGAGGGCACAGGAGTTTCGTATGAACTTTTCTGAAGTTCTGCAAGGTATGAAAGTGTTTTGCCCCGTTTTCCCTCAGCCAGGTTCCTGCAGGGCTCAGTTAGCAGGTTAGCTTAGCGCTCACGAAGAGGGAACCGCCATCAAACCGAAACATCTCACTGCGGTTTAGTTCGACTGAAATAAGAGGAACTGAGCGACTCTGCAGACAGACTGCTCCAGCCTGTCTGCATCAATAAGCCTCAGTTTCCTCTCTGCAGCCTGCAGGTTCTGAACGGCCCGGTTCAGCCCGGTTGACCCGGTTCAGCCCGGTTTAACCTGGTTCTGATTCTGCGGTGGCTGACGTCTCTCTGAAGGTTCAGGCTGACAGACGACCGCAGTCATCCTCACCACATCCTTCCTCTCTGCATCGTGTTGCTCTTTCATCTCATGACTCAAACGGTTTTCGTCTTTCATCACCAGCCGGTCAAACTTCACATCTCACATGGAGAAAACCGTTTCAGACTGTTAAAATATCCATGTTTGTGTTTAGAAAGCTTCAGTTTCATTTCACAGCTTCATAAACTCACAAACTAATTGTCAGTTTCATCCTCAGATCTGTTAGTTTTCACACTGAAAGTTTCCGGTGCAAACGAACTGCGGCGTGAAGAACTTCTGCATCGTCTCACACAGATACAAACTGATTTTATGTCGCCTGTTGCAGAGCAGCAGATGGAAAATCATCCATGATTTTCAACTGTTTATACTTGGAGAATATGAAAAAGATTCAACTAGGGCTGAAATAATTCATGAATTATTATTGAAATAATCAGCTGATTTAGTAATCGGTTCATTGTTAACTGGAGTATAGAGACTCAAAAAAGTCGACATGCTGAAAGAACGGCAGTCAGAGCAGCAATGAAGCCAAAACTGTGCAAAAATGAAAACATTTATATTAATATGTGCCCAAAAAAACGTACTTTTCTGTAAATATACTCCGAACTCCACAAGTGAGTTTTAGCTTCGCCTGGTTCAAACGCTGTAACCGTTTTCTACCCGTTATTAATAAACAACCAATCAGAGCCAGGAGGCGGGGCTTAGTGCTGCCTATCATGCTTGTATATGTGCTTCTCCCTCTCCCCTTCTCTCTGCTTTGCTGCAGCTTCTTCCTGATAGCAGAGTCTGCCAGGAATGCTAAGGCTAGTTAGCATAGCCACTTCAGGCTGATGGGAGTCGTAAATGATCTACTTTAAATCCTTTATTGATCGCAGAATGAGCGGTTAGCGTACATGCTAACTGAACCAGCTTGGATCTTCTGACAGTCAGGAAGATAAACTGTTTAACCTTCATCCTGACCTCCATCCCACTGTGGAAACTCCTCTTCCTCAGGGAAACTAGCCGCCTACGACACGGATGGAGACGGAGACTTCGACGTGGAGGACGCCAAAGTTCTGCTCGGCAAGTCCATTTCCTCCTTCCTAAACGACTGATGTGGTTTACATGAAGGCCTGGGTTTAAAACTTTAATCACCTGGTGACCTTTAACCCCTGAGCTCTACTGTAGAGACTAACAGCACCGGCTTCAGATCCTTGAACGTCCTCCAGTGTTTCTGTCGTTGCTGATGAGGTTTGGTTTTTATTGCAGTGAAAGTTGGAGGCTGACTGGAAATTCACCAATTATTGTTAAAAATCAATGAGCAGCGCGGTGAAAAGATTAAATTTATCACTAATATTACGGCTGTGCAAAGGCCTGTCATGATAACATCGTCACTGACATAAAGGAGAATGTCGTTTTCAGACCATCTTCAATTAATATAATGGTAATAAAGGCATCATAATAATGCAAGAGCAGATTCTCAAAGATCAATAAACTTTACATTTTAATTTAACACTGGAGCTGGAAGACATTTTAAACATCCAAAATAAAAACAGCAGAAACAACAAAAAGGTTTAGTTAAAACAGCAGGTTGAAGATTTTTTATCATCCAGGGGAAAAACGATAAATTATGCAAATGGAAATTATTGATCTCGTTTTAAATGATCATGTGACTGATTGATTTATTGCTTATTGCAACAGGACCAAGCTCTGATCCCTGTGGAACTCCAGGAGATTTGAATCAAGTTGACCTTTGACGTTACAGTTTGTGTTTCTGTTTGGTCATGTGACCGCATGCAGGATTACCTGGTGTGTAACTGAAGCAGTGTCAGAGGTCAAAGGTTAGGTTAACATCGGTCTGAAATGTTCAGCCCCAACTTTAGAGCAGAAATGAAGCGTAGTTTCTGATTGTGTGACGTGTTTTTCCTCCTCAGTGTGACTGGTCCGGTCCGGTTGGTCCGGTCTGGTCCGGTCGGTCCGGCTGAACTGAATGCTTTACGGTCCGGTGGCGTTTAGCTGTTCTTAGATTGAAGCTCTGCAGCTCTTCTTTACCCAGAAGCTGCATCTGACCAGTGAATCAGGCAGGAAGAGTTTCTAACGAGACCAGCAGAGGGCGCTGACAAGACGAGACAGAGAGAAAATGTTTTCCTGATGTTTCTGGATCATCTTTAACTTTCGATCTTTCTCCCTCATTCATCATTTCTTTATTTTTTATCCTGGTTTTGTTCCAGTCGTCCTTTTCTCCATCCTGCTGTTTTCTTCATCTCCTCCTTATTTCCAGTCCTCCATCTTCCCCTCCATCCTGTTCTCCCTCCTTTTCTCTCCCTCTCTCTCGTCAGGCCTGACCAAAGATGGCGGCCGTAGCGCCAACGCCGAGTCGCTCGAGGAGGTTCTGAACATTTTAGCAGAGGAGGGCTCTGATTGGATCTATGGCTTCTTCACCTTCCTTTATGATGTAGTTTCTCCCCCTGCACAGCGAGGTGAGGAAGAGGAGGAGGAGGAAGGGCGGGAGGCCTCCGCTGATGATGTGGAGGTCAAAGGGGTCATTCTGGACCTGCAGAACCAGTAGAACAGGAAGCAGGCGGTCTGACGGCGTAGAACCAGATCCAACAGGTCTGAGTCGGAGCTCCAGTTCCCACTGCAGGAGCGGACTGGGAGGACTGGGTTCTGGAGACAAATACAACAAGCAAGGAGAAATGAAGAGGAAGAGATTAAAACTGTTTTTATCTTCATACAAGCTGATTAGAAGGAAAAATAATTAATATTTTAGCTAAAATTAAAAGTTTGCAATTTTATGTCATAACTGCATAATGTCACATGATTTTATGTCAGATTTTATTTATTGAGCTATTATTATTAAATAAAAAAAATTATATATGCAATTTGTTGTTTTGGTACGGCAGACTATTAGGACCAGGCTAAGAATTATAATAACAATATTATAATTTTAGAATAAAGTCTTAATATTAGAAAAATAAAGAGGCAATATTACCAGAAAAAGGTTTTAAAATGAGAAAAAAATAGTTTAATGAGATGAAAGCTTCAATAATCAAGATCTAACGTGACCAAAGTCATGTAAAATAAAATTGACTTTATTCTTGATTTTTATTTTATTGTCATATTATTAGACTTTATTTTTACAACAAACAAACAAAAAGCTACAAATCAGAAATACGTTTGAGTCAACAGTATTAACACTAAAATCTTCTGCTCATTAAGATCAAATCAACATTTTTCTGTTTTTAAATTAATGCACGTTGCTGCGTTCTGATTGGTTGGCTGCTTGAACGTGATCCGTCTCTTTAAATCAGGTTAGTTTCAGGCGTTGACATCTCTTCCTGCATCGTGTCGGTAAAATCTGCAGAACGATGCAGGTTTTCTCACACCTGAATGACATCAGACGTTTCTATGAGCTGCATGGTTGGTGTGTTTACACTGGGCTTCATGTTTTCTGACCAATAAGGTTAACCTCGTTTATTAAACCTGACACCAGCTGCACCCTTGTTGATATTCCTCCTGTGACCTTTAACCTTCCTGAACTCCGTCAGCTGCTGTTTCTTCCTGTTCTCTGAGCTAAAGCCGCAGCTCTCTCCCCTCAGATCAGAGGATGTTCAGAGGAAGCTCTGAGCGGATGAGAACAGGTACGGTTGGCTGGGTTTGGGTCTGTCTGCAGCGCCGCGCTCACCTGATGCGTGTTTCTGTTTCTGAACTCCGTAGAGGAGGAGAAGAAGAGAGGCAGGCGCAGAGGTAATGTGGAGTTTACTAACGGCGCTCCATGTTGAACCTGACAGCATGTCTGCTGGATCTGATTCAGCTGGAAACGCCTTCAACCTCTGCAGCAGTTTATGTTAACATTGAATAACAGTCTTAACTAAACACCAAACCTTAATGCTTTATTTTTACCTGTTTAATCTTTTACTACTTGTTTGTAGAGAAGGCATTGTGAGTCTAATGGCTTGCCGTATTTAACATCCTGGCGTTTGGAGTTGATTGTTCTGTTTCTCCTGAGCCACAAAGACAGGATTCAGTTCAGTTCAGTTTTATGAATGGCAGCACCGAAATCTCCTGAATGGTTTTGGTCATTAATGAGTTTATGGTGAGTTTACTGGTTACAAAGATAGGAGTTTTGATTTTCTACCCAACTGGCCACTAGCTGGGCTGAACATGGCCGATTGGTCACCAGTTGGGGCCATGTGGGCTAAAGGTGGCCGATTGGTCACCAGTTGGGGCCATGTGGGCTAAAGGTGGCCGATTGGTCACCAGTTGGGGCCATGTGGGCTTAGAGTGGCTGATTTCTCTTTCTCACCGTTTATTCAATGTCACATGCTGTTTTTATTTTGTTTTTTAATTATGTAAAGCACCTTGAAATGCCTTGCTGCTGAAATGTGCTATGCAAATAAAATTTGATTGATTGATTGATTGTGGGCTGAAAGTGGCCAATTGGTCACCAGTTGGGGCCAGTGGGCTTTAAGTGGCTGATTTTGGTTGTCGGCTGATTTCTTGATGGATTGCTATCAGGAAATATTCATGATGGTTCTTGATCTGCAGGGAGTTCCTGTCGCGCATTAATCACATGGTTTCGTTGTTTTGCCGCTTGGTATGTTTAATCATGAGCTGTTCATGCTGAAAGCAGAACGGTTTACATTTTGATTTGTTGTTAATCTTTGGAGATAAGATGGTTAGCTCCCAGAATGCCTTTCACTCACCTTCGGTTTGGGCTTGTTTGGAATGCAGTGGTTCACTGATGCTCGCCTGTGAGACGGTTGGGTGGCCTGTGCTCAGCATGAGAGTAAATGTAGATGATCTCAGCAGTTTGACGAGTTGTTTCTGCTCTCAGCATCAGGAGAGACTTCAGGAGAGGCTGAAACGAACCAAACCAAAGGTACAAAAATCTACTGCCTCCTAGAAACCAGAGTGTGAAAATGTTGATGCTTGGCTCTGATTAACTGTAATGGATGATTTCCATGAAACAATTAGCATCACTAATTGATCCTAATTGTTGCACACTAGCAGGTTAAAGGTCATTTGAAAGGGTTGAAGGACAAGGTTATGGGACAATGTCTTCTAGGCAGATGAGACCAAAGTAGAGATGATTCCTCCAACAGGCTGAATATCTTAGTAACATTAAGGTTTGAACTCCTGACACTCAGCAAGCAGTCCTTAGTGATATGTGCATGGTCATGTTGTGATGACAATAGACACCTTTAGTATCATGTTTGTTTCCAGTCAGTAAAACAAACAAAAAGATGTCACTGAAGTTCATGTTAGTTTTCAGTTGAAACCATAAATACTAACGTGTCTCCCAGATCCTCCTTGCTGTGTCTGTGGAAGATGATCATTTCTAACCGGTCGGCTGAAATCTTTCAGCTCAGACTTCGGGTCCTCCGGTCCGAGGCGTCAAGCTGCGCTCGGCTCTGAGGGAGGAGCTCAGGCTTATCCACGAGAAGATGGAGGCCAAGAGGATCGCTCGGATCGCACTAGCCGAGATCCGGGCGCTCCTGGCTGAGGAGGAGCAGGAGAGGGAGGCGGCTTGGGCACAGAAGATGAAGGACCTGGAAGCAGCTCAGGAACAACTGAGAGATGAGAGGAGGCTTGAA